ATGTCATCGTTGACTGTTGAATAGACCGACTGTATTTTTTTTGCTACTTTATTTGCAATGTGTTATGAAAAATTTTATTGTTTGTTGTATCGATGTTTTATCCATTCATCTATATTTTGAATCTCAATTTTATTTCACGCTTTTTTGCATGTATTATTCCTCACTTGAATGGCCAATGAGGTGACCGTGGATATAATATGTCATATAATTTTTTAATGCTTGTTTTATTTTTGGGTTTTGGAGTTCTATTATGAGACATTCTATCTTAAGGGTTCTTCTGGATGACCTATATGTCGCTATCAATTTTTGTCACATGTGAAATCCCAATTAAAGTAACCAAGTTCATCTCCTTTTTCGGTGTTATGCTTTTGAGGTTCTTCTGGATGATTTTTTTTATGTGAAATACATATGTGACATATATGAGCTCGACATTATGTGATTTAAAAGCAACAAAGAACTCTTTTTTTATAATATCTTATCTTCTTGTAGTGACAGATTTGACGGTTTATACTATGTTCTCTTCAACCTCACAGTTTAATAAAACTTGCATTGATTACTTCTATTTTTTTTCGTTGTTGTTGCATCTAAGTATTTGTGTTTTTTGTTTTAAACCTACTGAAAAGTTAAGTTCGAGGACTTTCGGTACCTCTGGAGTATTGTACTGCTAATGTGGACTACAATATTCCCTGCTTCACGACAGCCACATAGCTATGTGAGAGTTTTACATATGTCCAAAGAGAAAAATAGAAAGCCGTGACTTCTTTAAATGGGCAGATGGGTTGGAGCAATACACGGCCAATAGTGATCGGGCGTGGCGAGTTTTCTTGGAGGAAGGCTTATCTCGTGACATAAATCAATTAAATTCTAAAAAACAATATTATCATATTATTAATTGTTATTTTAATAGTCATTTTTTTTTCATTTTGATTGTCATGTTATTGTTTTGTGAGGTGTCTGTTTTTATTTTGTAACATTCAAGTTGTATATTTTCTCAAGTATTGAATGTGCAAATATGAATAGGGACTATAGGGGTAGAAATATCATTTGTTCAGTAACATCTGTAGCACAGCTGTTTCAAAACTGCAAAAAGCAAACAAACAGTCAGCTTCTGTGCAACAACTTTTTAATAAGTTGTAGCTGCCCCAAACAGACCCTAAATAAGAAATCCCTTGCCCACTTTTTGTGTTGGTTGCATGACAAGGAGAGAGAAGAAAAGTGAATGAATGGAGGTTCTACATCACCTTTGGTCTTTTTTTTTTCTTTTTTTTTTTGGAGGGAGAGAAATCTCTTGTACAACAAGCATGGCTCATTGCTTCCTATTTATCATTTTAAAGTTTTTTAGTTACTTAATTTTCTTTTTTACTTTTTTCTAAGAGAAAAGGGCATATATTTTTTATTGGTCTCGAAGTTTATTCTTTTTATGCTTCAAAATTATAGCCATCACTTACACATATCATTAGAAACTTCAAAGCATTATTAATAAACATGTTTTATCCGTGAGATAACAAATCATTTCTTACAATTTTTACTTATGTGGCTTTATAAGATCAACACAAATTTATCAAGATCATTTTTTCTTTAGTATTTCTCTATTAATTACACCAATACAGCAATATACCCAAATCACATTCATAAATCTCCTTGACATAAAATTAATTGATTATGCAAGAACAAAAAAATGCTTCAAGCCTTTGCTTCATTACCCTCTACCATACATAAATCATTAATTTCATTATATGAGTCACAAATCAAGCTATCATATTATTGCAGCCATATTAAACAAACCTTGTAATCCTAAATACTAGCAACAAAATGCTTTCATAAAGTCATACGGCATTTTCTTGTAATTTAAGAGTTCCTTATTTGTTAAGAAAGCTACTCATAACAAATCCCTCAAGCCAGCATACTAAAAAACACATATAAAGTCTAAACAATTCAATCCAAAACAAGGAATTGGGAAGCTCATCACAAAGCTTACAAAAAACAAAAGATATTCAGAATATGAAACTGCATAGTTTTTGCAATATTGGCCATCCAAATTCTAATTCATATTCTAATCCATATTTGCCATTTCTAAACAATCACAAAATCAGGAATTTATACACTTGATGTTTCTGACATTAATGCCATGTAAGTGTTTGGCAGTGACTGACACAACACAAACACCATAAAAAATAATGTTGGGGATTCATAACAACTTCCTCAGTTTGTTAACATTTTGAATTGCAGAAATTGATGAAATCTAGAAGACAATCATCTTGAAGGAAAATATTAAAAAAGGAATCTTTACATACACACCACATAATTCTTATGTATGTACATGTTTAGCACCTAAACTTCAATACTTACATTCATAGCACTCAAATCTTTAACATCGCATCAAAAATACCACTTTTATTAACTTCATAAGAGTTGAATGCACTTTTTTTATACATAGGTTTATAACAAGGTGTTATAAATGTAAATATCAAACTTTAGAAGTTAGACATGTAAATCCATAAGAATTGTGTTGGTAAGTATCTAAATTTTCCTACAAAAAATAGAAAGTTCATAATCCACAAGCATCAGAGCATACAACAGTTAAACACTACAATCAATACAACTAATAATGCCCAACACCAAACGAACTACGGTTGAAAAAATAATAATGTTGCAATGTAGATAGCACTATTTTTCAAAATAACAGTGAACCAAACAACAGATTTTGTGATTAAACAATAAGATTTCAAATTTAAAAGAGAGAAGCACAAAAGCTTATATTTGTCGATCAAGAAAAGAACAGGTTAAATACTAAAAAAATTAATAGGTTATCCAAATAATTAGATGGAAAATGACACAAAAATCATCAAACTGAGAAGAAGAAATGCCAAAGCAAGAAAAAAGACCACAATTCTCACGGTAACCATACTTAAATAGCTAATAATGAAGATTTTATCCAAATTCACAAGTTGGGGAAGAGAGCCCTAACCAACTTTGTTGTTAACGACATAAATCTTCTGAAGATCACCCACCACTACCTTCCTTTAATGAAGATCACCCCCAATGCATTTGATAACTCGGTATGTGAGCTGACTGCATCATATCTCTTATTGCTCAATCTATGGGATCAATTTTATCAATTATCCTCCATTCATAGCTACTTAAGAATCAATTTTCACAACTTCTAGTTGGTTTAACCATTTTTTTCATTTTTCATCGTTTTCACTTTAGTTCTTTACACTTGCTTATTGATGCATCTTCCCCAACCAACAATATGATCATTGCTTCCTTACATTCAAAAGATTTCCTAACTATATGACATCCATCTCAATATTTTTTTTTGTTGCAGCCTAGTCAACTTAGATATTAGTGCATTGTTTGTCAAACATCACCAGAATTCATATGGTGTAATAGTCCTAAATAGTTTTAAAATTTTCTGTCTACACAATAACCTTTAATTCAATTATTATAAAATATTCCTGAAGCGCTTTTGAACCAACTTTAGATTTTGAATTTATGTTCTCATCAGTGCTTTCGTATAATAATAAATTCAAGGTGCTTGAACCTAGTGCAAGAATCTCTAATTTGATCATCTGGCAATAATGGTTAGAAATTATCGTTTTCATATCTACAAAATTCACATTATCTATCAAAATTTAGCATACTCCTTATCATTTACAACCTTCCTCAATCATTACAACTTCTTAATTACTCCATAAGATGACTCATGCATGAAAACTATACCATTTACAAACAGCATAAATCACAATATCTAACTTTCTTAATGATGCCCAGCAAATAACCTCACGAAATGTGTGATCATATGCCTTATTAAGATCAATTAAAAAAAATTGTAACATCTTTTCATCACTGTTTAAAGCTTTTCATTAACTACATCGGCAACAAAATCACCATCACAGTAAATCTTCTTGACAGATTATGCGGTATTGGCTTTCTTAATACAATCATAAAAACATCTTCTATTCCTAAATAGTAGTATCAAAATATTTTCATCTACTCATTGCATACTCTTAGCCTTCAAAATTTCCTAATTTCTTAAGGATTCTACCAAAGTAGGCTAGTGGGGAAGAATAGAGGTGTAAAATCTAAAACATTCAATCCAAATTAAGGATATGAAAAACTCATCGCATGGCTTACAAAAGCAAAATATTTTCAGCAAAGCATCACATAAAACATCATGTTTTTTCCCTATTAAGCATCTATGTTATAAACCATATTTAGCATACCTATAAACAAGCATTATTAATCAGAAATTCCCTTCATCTATCAAAGGTACAGATTCTTTAGAAGTAACTTTTTTATTTTGATGAACATGAAAACCCAATTGAGTCAATGATGCAAATGTGAATGAAATTATGATAGTTAATTTGAGAAAAGAATCCAATTAGGACTTTTTGGATCATTCGGATCTTAATTTCATGGGAAGCTACATTATTCTACCTGTTTAGTCTGCGAAAAATTACGGCATAGTAATAGCTATAATATTTGACTAAAAGAAGTTCAGAAACGGCATAGTAATAGCTATAATATTTGACTAAAAGAAAACGAAGTTCAGAACCAAAGATGTTTAGGTTAGACAATTTAAAAAGTATTGCAGTTAAAAACGCTGAATCAATCGAACAACAAATGATAAATTGGACTGAAACTGAAAAATTTTGCAATCAAGAAAACATTTTTCAAGCAAGAGTGAACCGAACAGGCACTAAGACTGAAACTGAAAAATTTTGCAATCAAGAAAACATTAATTTTCAAACAAGAGTGAACCGAACAGGCACTAAGATTGTAAAAATGAAAAAAGGCAAAACCTTGTATTTGCCCATTAAAAAAACTGCAGCTTTAAAGATTAAACAATATAATAGGTTTTCTAAGCAATTGACAGAACAATAGCATGACAGCCAAAAGCCTAATTTTTTTTTCCTAATATTCCGCAAATAAATCAGCTCAAATATAATGCTTCTCCACTAAAAAACAAGAGGCCTATAGGAAAGCACGAGCCAAACCTGCTATTGATAACATCGATCTCATGAAGAGTGACGCAGTGCACGACCTCCTTCCTCTTCTGTAGCTCACCTTCAGGACACCTTAAAAACTTGGTATGCGGCCCAACTGCATCATAGTCTCTCGATCGCCCAATCGACCGCCCAAGCTTGGTCACCTTACCGGAAGCCTTATCCAATGCTATCACATCCCCGCTCTGGACCTTCTCTTTACTCAGTGCCTCGATCATCTTTCCTCCCAAATCGTACACCGTCTCCATATCCGTCGTTTTCAGCGTGAGCTTCCCTGTCTTAGAACCGGCAGATGCCGCGGAGGAAGAACCCGAACCAGATCCGCCGACGCCAACAGGACGGTCAATGGTGATCTCAACAACCTCACCCTCGATGATCTCGGCCTCCTCCTTGATGCGAACGCCGATAGCGCGGCGAAAGGCCTGGGTGAGGGCTTCGGTCTTAGACATCTCGAGGGAGAAGAGCTCAGAACCAGAGAGAGTGGCGAAGGGGGTCTCCTCGCCGAGGGATTTGGCGAGGCCCATAGCGATGGCAGTCTTCCCGGTGCCGGGCTGGCCGGCAAGGAGGACGGCGCGTCCGGCGATCTTACCCTCCTTTATGAGCTGGAGAATGAGGCCGGCCGCCTTGCGGGCGGGCTGCTGGCCGACCATGCCTTCGGAGACCGCGCGAGCCTCGAGGGAGGAGTCCAGGCCAAGGCCTCGTATGTGGGAGTGCGCTCCAATTCGCTCTATGCGAGTCAAGTCTCGGCTTTCAGAGAGCTTCTTCAACTCCGCCGCCATGATCGCCGGAGAAGGAGACAAAAGGGAGAGGAAAGGAGGTGTAGGGTTTAAGAAGGAGACGGGGCTCGAAAGGATGGGGGAAAATTTACACATGTAGCACCCAATTCTTATATATTTATCTAACTAACACCCAAATTTTAATTTTTATAATCTAAACGTCTTTTTCTATATTTGAAAACAATGTATGAAATAGTGGATTACACGTTTTCCATAAATAATGTGGTCTGAATGTAAAAATCATAATTTGGGCTTGAGATAAGTAAATACATAAGAATTGGGTGTTATGTATGTTAATTACCATTTACTATATTGTGGAATGTCATGGTGATTTAACAAATATTGACAGTTCATTTTATTTTGATCGACTAGGATCAATAGTTTTTTTTTTTTTTACCGGGGTAGGGCTGTCAAAACGACTCGTTGTTCAGGATCAGCTCGTGTTCGCATCGCTAAGAAGCTTGTGTTCGACTCGTTCGTTAAGTTAACGAGTCGAACACGAATAAAAATTTGTTCGTTCGTGTTCGGCTCGTTTTGGCTTGAAATAGTACCTATCAATAGATATATATATATATTGATAAGTATTATTTTTTAAAAAATTTAATTGACTACAAGGATACAAGGATTTAGAAAGATTTATAATCAATTAAAAATACTAATTAAGAAAATATAATAAGAATTTTTAAATTAAATTTAAATAATGTTTTAATATAAACAATAATTTTTAAATCTTATGGCTATATGATTATGATTGTCAAAATGACTCTTTGTTCATAAACAGCTCTTGTTCGGCTCGCTAAACAAACGAGTCGAATACGAACACACTTTTTGAGCTCGAAATATAAATTAGTCGAACAAGAGCTAAGCCTGAGCTCGCTCGTGTTCGGCTCGTTTACACCCCCTAATTGGGAGGCGGAGCTTGTCGTTATTGGGCTTTGTAAAGTAGGCTTTTTTAAAATCAGCTAAAGCCATAATAATGAATTTTAGGTATCGATCATTTAAATTTTAAATACAACTTTTTAAACATTCAAAATTTTTTCTATATCTTTCGTGAGTGAGTGATTTAAGAGAATAATTATAAAAAAAAATTAATTATAATTTTATATTTAAATTTTGGATGATTATAATATTATATTTTATATTTTGAGTAATTATTATGCAAAAATTCTTAATTTTATTCAAGTTTGAATTTTTTGGATCGAATGGAAGCAACTTGGTCGAGGAAACTAAAGGACTCGAGGACTCATGACCGAATTAAAGAAAATCAGAAAAAAAATTGAATTGGTTTATTTTAATTTTATCATATATTTTCACTAGAGAATACAATGACAACAATAATAAGCATTTA